AGGGCCAGATGGGAGTTGGGAGTCCAATAACAGCAGGTCCTCCAACCCCAGTTCTAGGCTATGCATTTTGGCATTTCTGTGGGAAGCCTACTTTAATCTTGCCAGACTTTCTGATCTCTTAAAAAGGCCTGCCTGCATTGCTAATGAATAAAACTGCCCTTTTAACTCCATACCAGAAACAGCCTTAGATACTGTAACCCGTCTCCTGTGTAAAAGTCACACAGTGGTTGTCAACCCAGAAAATGAAGCATTTCAAATGGGAAGTGTTGAGTCAGTTTGGGACCATACTCATAAAGACGTTCATTCCACCAGTCAAGTGTGGAAGCAATCTGGGTTGGCTTTCTTAAACAACCTGTTTTTTTGTGGGGGGAGGAAAGTATTTATTTATATTTACTCATTGCATTGCATTTCTGCCAAGGCACCCAAGGCAGTTGGCCAATGTAAAAGTGCAAAGACAAATCATATAACAAGCATTGTGGTACCCGGGGGTGGTGAGGGGAGAAGGGGGCAGCCTGCCAGGAACAGGCCCAGTGTCTTCTATACCTGCCTCTCTCACACATTTCCTCCTCATAAGGCAGACTTCCATACTTGTGCATGTGTTTTTGCGGCTATTATTTTGACCAAAGGTAGAATAGCGAAAGCTCCTTGGTCTACGGAATAATTGCAGCTACTTCAAGAGAATGAGCACAAGTGAACAATTACAGGAAGGCAGCAGAAGTGGGTCTACATTTTTTAATTGGTTGCCTTGAAGTAGCATGTTAATATTAATGTTTCGGACCTAGGTGTGCTTAAAACGGAACACAGCAATATCGAAAGCAACACGATGGCCAGAAACAATTACAGTATAGAAAACTTTGTGAAATAATGCGAAACATCAAAACTATCAAACTGGAGTCTCTGAAAGTCTTTGAATAAGTCACGGTGCCAGGCTTTACCTGGCGGAGATCAAGCTTGCAACACTGGGGTTTGTTTGTTTGTTTAAAATGGAACACAGTCAAAGTCTTGTCTCGAGTGTGTGTGTGTGTGTGTGTGTGTGTGTGTGTGGTGGGGCAGGCTTTGCCAAGCCCATGAATCTCATTTCCCCATCTACAAAATGGTGCTGGCAATTCAAGGCTTGGGCAGCATCAGATGTTCTGGGGTGCTTAGCCTGCTATTTGGGTTACGGTGAGGACAAGAGTAAGGACCTATTTCCAGCTGATTTTGCATTCTATTCATGAATAGCATTTTCCAAGTTTAAATGCCAGTTGCATATATCTTAGCAAACATACTTATTATTACAGAGGGTTAGTTGAATCATAGACTTGTAGAGTTGGAAGGGATCCTTAATGTTTGATGGACTACTGTATTTTAATATTTTGTTGGAAGCTGCCCAGAGTGGCTGGGGAAACCCAGCCAGATGGGCGGGGTATAAATAATAATAAATTATTATTATTATTATTATTATTATTATTATTATTAATCCTGGAGGTTATCCCATCCAACCCCCTGCAATGCAGGAATCTCAACTAGATCACACATGACAGATGGACATCCAACCTCTGTTTAAAACCCTCCAAGGAAGGAGAATCCATCACCCCTCATGGAAGTCTCTTCCACTGGCGAAAGTTCTTCCTGATGTTTCGTCAGTATCTCTTCTCTTGCGGCCACTCCTTTTGAATCTGAAAGACCTTGTTCATCACATCAAAACATAGGAATATAGCAACCTGCCTTATGCTGAGTCAGTCCATTGGTCCATGTAGCTTGCTACTGGTAACTCTGACCTGCAGTGGCTCTCCAGGGTTTCAGGCAGGAAATATTCCTGGAGATGCCATAATTAAACCCGGGGCCTTCTATATGCAGAGCAGGTGCTCTACCACTGATCGAACTGATTCTTTCCTTTCGCCGACTCACAGAAAGCTCCAGAGCTGCAACAAAAACACTGACAAAGAATCCCAGAAGGAGAATGCTAAAGATATCTTAGATGTTTAAGTCAAAAAGCCTTTGCATGAAGTCTTAGAGGATCTGTAGCCATCATTCTGATGCCCTTTCATGGTGTTCCAGACTCTGAACCATAACCCTCTTAGTGTGTGTGTGTGTTCCCACTCTTTTTCCTGCTCCCACTCATTCCACCCCCAAAGGAGGAACTGATTATCTTGAACACAGGATGTGCCTCTTGAGAAGAAATTAGGAAGGTGACTTCTTGATGACTCTGAAGATATGTCAGAGAGTCATGTGAGCAACAGATGTGTTCTTTTGGTTTTGCTGCAACGCGTGTCAGATTATTTCACATGCTGTGCAAGCTGCAGTTTTGTAACGCTATAATTGCATCTAAGTAAAATGCTATTTTAATCTTGGCCCGCTAAACAGATACTCTCAAGCTCACCGTGACTTTTGTGTGTGTTAATATGAAGAAGGAAACTTAATCCTTCCCTCTTTGTGTGCCCCCACAGCCATAATATTTCTTTGTACGTTCTTAGTATTTTATAAGCTAATGAGTCCCCAAGTCACCATTAATACTGGGTAGATGACATTCAAAAGCAACAAGCTAAACAGTTTGGTCTCCATCCAAAATTTACTGGTATATCAAAGAAATCTAAGCATTGCTTTGATTTAATGTTCATGTTGAACCACTTCATTTTCCTATAAAACTCAGGGGAGTATTGGAGTCAGCCCACATTACATTTACATGAGTAAATTTCTTTTCCTTTGACTAACAGCCTTGATACTACTGATCCATGTGGAAAACCTGCCGTGCTTCTGAGAGCCAGTGTATATGCCATGACCCCCCACGTGGAAGCTCTTTGAAGGGAGCCTGTGGGCTGCCTGGTCCATGCCCCGGACTAATGCCATTATGCAGTTTTAGCTCCAAGAATTTGGAAGCTCTTTGGCAGGGCACCATCTGTGAGTCCTTTTAGCTTCAAAGAGCTAGAGTTGCAAATCTAGAATCCTCACTTATTAATTCTCATCTTATTTAAAATTTTTATTTAAATGGTTTATATTCCAAAGCAGTTTACAAAAGCAAGATGCAGCACATAAATAAAACGTAACAACTTTTATTTTGTATTAAGAAAAGTACATGAAAAAGATCAAGGGAATCAAAGCATCTTTGCCTGGTGCTGAAGGGATAGCAATGTTGATGCCAGGAGGGCCTCTCTGGAGCAGGAATTCCACAGAGGGGATGGGACTTACCAACATTGAGAAGGCCTCCTCTCTGCCTGCCACCTACCTTACCTCACATGGCAGGGGCGTGTGGATGGAAACCTCCAAATGGTTTGGACAGGGTGATTTCGGAGCAAGTGTTCCTGCAGATACTTGGGTCCTAAACTGTACTGGGCTTTAAAGCTAAGCACCAGCACTGTGATGCTCTAAGGTGCCATTAGAAAGGCAACACTGCTGGAGTGATGGGGTTCTTGCTGGCTAGTAGGAATGGTTTGATAAGATGGCATGATTAAGAAGGACAGAGAGATTTTGTACCTGCACATACAAAATGGGACAATTTGCTTTGAAATGCATCCAGATGGATGATTAATCCCTGCTGGCATACTCTACCAAGAGATAAACTGTAAGGGCAATTTCACAGGCACAAAACTGTATGCCTTTTAAAAACCTTGTGTACATTTGGGCTTTTGTTTATTTATTTAGGATGACATTGCCATACATAAGTCAAGGTACAGATCATGTTTCATTGCAACTGAAGTAAAATACTGCACTTGGATGTGAGGAACACTAAAGTGGAGATTAAGCAGAGATAAGATTCTGCAAGGGGAATCGTGTGCTAGACCAAGTGAAACTCTATTGACCTTGATGTCTCATACTTACTTGGCTTTCGAATTGTAAAATTGCATGTTTGACAAGTTTCAACTGAAATAGAACTGCCTTTCTGTGTGTGCGGAATAACTTGCATTGGAGAAAACATGCAAAAGGAATCTCTTGTGTTGTCGATCTGTGCAAAACTGTGTGGCCTAAACTGGAACACCAAGAGCGAAGACTACCATTTGAGTTGAAAATGTCTGGGTATAAATTGGCCCATAATAAAGGTGCAGTTTACAATTTATTGTAAAGTGGCAAACTCCTTAAAGACAGGTGCTCTGGTCAAGTTAGGAATCATACGAATGCAAGGAGAAAGCTTTTGCAGCCAAAATCCTAGCTGGAGGTGTAATTGTGGGTGCACATGGGTGCTGCATGTGCAATGCCAATCCAGGGGCTAGAATGTGGACTTGTAGCACAGAATACTTTTCAACAGAGGACTGTCTTCTGACAGTCCTTCAAAATAGAGGACTACCTTCTGTAAAGTGGGGCACATGGGCTACCCTAGCACCAGCTCCATTCTCTTGCCATTCCCATCTGAAGCTGGGTGATGGTGATGGTGATGGTGAAGCTTTTCTACTTGGGTGGGCTCCCTGTGCAATTTAGAACCCTAATCTTCTAAGATTCTAAATCCTGCAGGCAGCTTTCATGAGTAGAGGAGGATGCCAATGAGGATGGTGATGAGTGGCAGAGCCAATGTGCTTGTCCTTGCTCACAATTATAATTGCATGGGGGATGAGAATGCCTCTGGTGGTTTATATCTATCTAGTCTGTCTGTCTGTCTGTCTGTCTATCTATCTATCTATCTATCGATCGATCGATCGATCGATCTATCGATCATCTATCTAATCTATCTATACTTATCTGTCACATGGCAAGTTTGGTGGAGATAGTTGGAAATGCCATTGCATAGATGATGCTGAGTTGCTTGTAATTTGCTAGGAAAATCTGCCTATTTCAGTTTCTCTCATTTCTCCACATTTCAGTTCAGTTCTCCATGTTGTTGCATCATTTTCTGTTTTTTGGTTTTTTTTTTAAAGTCCTCTTGAAAATTTAGCATCAGTTTAGTGTGAATTTCTCCCAATCGACACATCTTTTAATACAATTCCCCTTAATGCACACATTTTTGCAAAGCACATTTCTCCTTATATAATGCAGTTTTGTGTGTTTATGATTACCACTGATTTGTTAATCACCTTCTAAAGCACTGTGCAGCTTGGATAGCTCAGCTGGTTAGAATGTGGTGCTCACGATGCCAGGGTTGCAGGTTTGATCCCTGTATGGGGCAGCTGTTCATTCCTTCAGGGGGTTGGACCGGATGATCCCCAGGGTCCTTTCCAACTCTACAACTCATCTATGAAAGTGATTTACACATTTTATTTTCACTAATATATGCATTTTTGAACATATTTCTTAGATGTGGAACTGGAAAAAAGTGTGGATTTTAAAGGATGGTTTGTGTCCTGTTTCGCAAAGTGCAAATTAGGTAGATTAAATATGAACTGACTCAGATTTCTTCCCCAACCCCCATTGCTTGGAAGTTGGTTGTTCTGTGTGCTAACCAAGTAGCTGTATGTATAATTTTTGTCTGTCTTCAAATGGATATTGGAGCAATGAATCTAGCCTATTGCTAATTCGCTACTGATGCTTTGTTCTTGTGATTCCTCCATCTTTACATATGTTTGTTCCCTCCCCCCCTCGCATAATAAATAAAATAAAATTGTGTGTGGATCAAGGGATATAACATACAGATATGCCCTCAAGTAGGTAAGGAAGGATCAAAAGAAAAGCCAAGGAACTTTATACTAGCTACGGCAAACCTAGACATTATGAATAACAGAATTAAATCCAGGATCACTTCAAAGGGGATTGTTGAGGAAATGGATAAATAATGATTCTGAACACATCAGAGGATCCTAGAAGCAAGGCTTTAGAAATATACATTAGATGATCAACATGAGCAATAATTTTATTACCATACCAGCATAAATAGTTCAGAGGCCTTTATAGAGTTTTGCTGTTTTTCATTTCAGTCCATTTATCTGACTGGCATTTGAGGTACCATAAGGAGTCAGGGTGCTGTGAAGTTGAAGACTTGGCTTGTAGCTGTCAGCTGATCTCCATAATCCTCTAGGTCTTGGATATTTTTGCAGGCTCTGGAAAGCCAGCTGGACTCCCATAGGTGATGTGGCTCAGAGCCACTGCTGCTATGGCGGCAGGGAAGTGAAAGTACTCTCGATGACTTCCACAAAGACTGCAAGCCACAACTTTATTTAATATAGCACCAGGAGGTTCCAATTATTCCCCACAGGGCTGGGGGGGGGGGAAAGCTGCCTGTTGATTCTGATACGCAAAAGTATGAGCTAAAAGACTATCTCATCCTTTATATACCACTGCTCTGCAGGAAAGGTCATCCTGCAGGTACCATCTTATCATGAGATCCATTCTGCACGATGTCGGAATCAGACCTTTAGTGTGGAAGCACCTTCCCATTATGTATCAGACAGGCACCATCTCTATTGCCTTTTCAGCACCGGTTGAAAACTTTCCTTTTTGAAACAAGGATTTTTAAAAAAATTAGATTCTTTATTGGATTTGAAATTGTCTCTATATATGTAATTAATATATATATATATATATATATATATATATATATATATATATATAAAAGAATCACAGAATTGTAGTTAAAAGGGACCCCAAGGGTTATCTATTCCAACCCCTTCTATGCAGGAATCTCATCTATGACAGATAGCCATCCAACCTCTGCCTGAAAACCTCCAAGGAAGGAGAGTCCACAGCCCCCCGAGGCAGGCCATTCCACTGCCGAACAGTTCTTACTGTCAGAATATTTTCCCTTATGCTTAGTCAGAATCTCCTTTCTTGTAACTTGAAGCCATTGGTTCAAGTCCTACCTTCTAGAGCAGGGTATGTAATGATTTTTAAATTATTATTTTTAACAGCTATTTTGTTGCATTGTGAAATTGCTTTGATATGCTATGCATAGGAAGCGATTCATAAATGAAATTAATAATAATAAAAATAATCATCATAGCAAGTTCTTATTTATTTATTTATTTGTATCCTTCCTTTTCTCTTTGGTGCTCAAGGTTACATACATGGTCCCAGGGGTGGACTATGGTAATCTTTCGTAATATGGCACCTTGAGTGAGGCCAAAATTTAGTGCCCCTAATGGCTTTTCTTAATTTTGTGCCCCTTTGGCTCGGCACCCTGTGCCTATACCACCCTAAATCTGTCACTGATGGTATTTTGCACTACTACTACTACTAATTTATTTCTACCTCGCCCATCTGGCTGGGTTTCCTTTCATACTGAGAAAACTATACTTCTTCATTCCTGGATGTGTTTATTCTTCCCTGTTTCATAAAAAGTAGCCTCTCAATACCCCGTCCATCTGGATTGTCCTGCCCACAGTCAGAGAAAGACAAAACAGGGTTGGAATAGCAAGAAATATAATGTGTTCTAATGCCAATAACTTGTCCTTGAGAAGCAATATTCCAACCTGCTTGGATTTATGGTTTGGCCTTGGGCAAGTCACTTTTTCAGTGTCGGTCTCCCATCTGTACGCTGGCCCCACATTTCAGCACTGTGTAACATCTGGGGTTATATTTTAACTTCTATTAGCTAGCTTAAGAGCGGAAGGATTTGTTCCTGTTATGCCTCCAAGACTTCCACATTTCATTTGATTGTTCAGCCTGCAGTTGAATAGATTGAAGCTGTGCCTTCCAGCCAAAGGTTTTCAGAAAATGTAATGCTCAGGTAGAAGCTTGACCTGACCTATTTGTTGCTCATCAACATGCAAAGAACAGGGCTCAAGGATACTTACTCCTGTGGAACAGTGTTCCTGTCGTGATATGGCAGGTGCTTACTATCCACACTTCTAATAAAAAATTGAAAACATGTTTGTTCCAATGACTTTCTCAGCTGGTTGAATAATTCTCTGCCATGGGTTTCTCTCCCCACCCCTCTCTTTTTATATTTAAACTGGACTTGGAGCAGATACTCCTTCATTTATCATCATCATCATCATCATCATTATCACTATCCTTCCCTTCCTCCCAAAGTTGCCCAGGGTGACAAATACACAAGTGGTAAAACACTTAAAACGTCTAAAAAGTCCAATGCAAGCTGGAAAAGATCTTTTCTTAAAAGGCTTGAAAAGGAAGGTCTTCATTACAGTCCATGCCAGTTGTTTCTGCTCAATGCAAGTACCAATTGAGCCTTTAAAAGGTGAAGGTTGGAGAAGCTACCTCTCTAGCTTGGCTCTCTCTTCTTTAGCTGGATGTAAGTTCTGTTGTGCTTTTTACTCATGAGTTCCAAGTGTTTTGAATTAAGAATAAGATGGAAAGTTCACGACGAGAAAAGCATAATGTTGGCTGCAACAGAGCTAACCAAACAAAAACTGAGTAGTAGTTGGATAGTATTTGGAAAGCATTAAAATATTTCTCGCCCTCAATTTTCAGCGAGCGCTGTACATTTACAAGTAATGAATGGGCTATATATCGCTGGCATTAGTCTTTGGGCCAGGATTATGACTTGTGTAATGAAGTTTTGATTGAGGGCGGGTGGGGAATATTTTTACTAGAGTGATAGATTGGAACAAAGGGAAATGAAAGAGGTAGAAAAGGCTTAAAACAAGTCACTTGCTTGATGGATGGTTCCCATGGGAATGACCATGGAAATCTATATAGAGTATAATGTGAATGGATTGAGATTCATTGCCTAGCCTTTTTCTAGGGTTTTGTTAAAAGGGAGGCGGGTGACGGGTTTGTAGTGCTGCAGAACAGAGTCCGTGCAATGATAGTACTGGTTACTGATCTGTCATACTTCCTAAACTCACAGACTCTTGATCCAATAATTTGCACAAGACAATCAGCCCTGGCAGCGGCGTAGCATGGGTTGCCAGCCCCCGGGGCCACATGTGAGGCTATCATGAAGCATTCAGCCTGAGTTGAATGTGTAGAGCTGTCCACTAGCTTCTGTTGACCTCAGCCCTTTCAAAAGAACGCACACTCAGAGGTAGAATATATAAGTAGGAGAGCTGCACAAAAAGGAGAGGATGGATGAGAGTATAATAGTACAGTGGTACCTTGGGTTACAGACGCTTCAGGTTACAGACTCCGCTAACCCAGAAATAGTAAATCAGGTTAAGAACTTTGCTTCGGAATGAGCACAGAAATCACGCAGCGATGGCACGGTGGCAGCGGGAGGCCCCATTAGCTAAAGTGGTATCTCAGGGTAAGAACAGTTTCAGGTTAAGAATAGACCTCCAGAACAAATTAAGTTCTTAACCCGAGGTACCACTGTAATACCACCAAGAAATAAAGGAAGAATGGCAGACTACTACTATGAGGTAGATAAGTAGGTGGTTTTTCCAATATAGATCTGTCTTCCTCTTCTTCCTCCAACCCTACAAAGCTAGATTTAGCTCTGTGGATGTTTTAAAGAAACAGTGAGAGATATGATCACAGATCTCCCAATATATTCTTCAGAATTCAAAAGAAGCTAGGGGAATTTTGGACTGGTGTTGTGGTGCACAGGGGGCAATTTAACTCTTTCTCCGTGTACTCATTCAACTTCCCCACCCCAAAAGTTGCTAAATCCCTTTCTGGGGGAAAGAGAGAGACACTACAGGCTCCCTACCCACTCTCCTAATGTGCCGTGGTGAGGCTTTCCCAGTTTCAGTGATATCTAAGAATGGGGGGGGGGGGGTTAAATTCATTTTGCATATTAAAGTAACTCTACCTAATTTATACTTTCTGAAACACTACGTAAAGTGAAATGCAGCCATTCCTTGAAATTGGCATTTCTCCTAATTTCATTATGCACTTTTCCTAACAAATGATGTGTACAAAACTGTGTATATGGGGAAAATGTGCTTAACTGCATGTACACTACAAAAAAATGGGTCTACTCTAAGTATATTGGATATTGGCTATCACCCAATGAGTCTAACCATGCAAAACAATTCACACAACTGAAAAAAACACTTCACTGCACTTTTTTTTAAAAAGTGAGACCTTCTTTATGAAATCTTTAGTGCTATTTACTTGCTTTTACATGCTTGACAGCCTGTAACGATGTGTGAGATGATAACTACATATGGTCACTTATTAACTGTAATAAAGTGAAATACTTTACTGACTCCAAAGTCACCCAGTAGCTAGAGCAGAACTTTCCTGTGGGCAGTTGCCACAGTCGACTTTTCTCCCATTCTCTTTATTTTATTTTTTTTAATCAGGGTCCAATTTCCTCCATTGAAAGGT